AGATTTTCTGCCTATGAGTTTGCTTTCAAAAGGAATTCATAAGTATTTAAAATACTATTTATAATGCTTTGCACTACTCTCAATGTTGTGTGCGCATTCAATGGTTCTTTACTAGTAGACCGTATGACCTTCTATGCAGTGTAAAGGGACTAATAAAGATTTCTTTTTAAATGCTTAGACTTTCATTAAGGGTTTTTCATGCTATAGCCCTAAAATTCAATTTGTAAAATGCTTTTTAAACAAACAGTCCTGTAAAGATAGGAATGTGGGCTTGGTCCTCTCTACTCCCAAAATTTGTTTGGTATCGAGTGTTATCTAATAGGTACTGTGAGGATGTTGCCTAAGCATTTGTCATACAACTAAAGTGTCACTTATGATTTCTTGAGCGCTGGGGCACCAGGAGCACTGGGGAATGAGGGTTTCCCTCACTAGTACAGAATAGATGTAGCAGAATACAATGTAGGGGACAATTTCCTGGTGCAAGTGCTGGAGGAACCAACTAGGGGCAGAGCTCTTCCAGACCTGCTGCTCACAAACCGTGAAGAATTAGTAGGGGAAGCAAAAGTGGATGGGAACCTGGGAGGCAGTGACCATGAGATGGTCGAGTTCAGGATCCTGACACAAGGAAGAAAGGAGAGCAGCAGAATACAGACCCTGGACTTCAGAAAAGCAGACTTTGACTCCCTCAGGGAACTGATGTACAGGATCCCCTGGGAGAATAAACATGAGGGGGAAAGGAGTCCAGGAGAGCTGGCTGTATTTTAAAGAACCCTTATTGAGGTTGCAGGAAAAAAACATCCCGATGTGTAGAAAGAACAGTAAATATGGCAGGCAAGCAGCTTGGCTTAACAGTGAAATCCTTGCTTATCTTAAACACAAAAAAGCAGCTTACAAGAAGTGGAAGATTGGACAAATGACCAAGGAGGAGTATAAAAATATTGCTCAGGCATGCAAGAGTGAAATCAGGAAGGCCAAATCACACTTGGTGTTGCAGCTAGCAAGAGATGTTAAGAGTAACAAGAAGGGTTTCTTCAGGTATGTTAGCAACAAGAAGAAAATCAAGGAAAGTGTGGGCCCCTTACTGAATGAGGAAAGCAACCTAGTGACAGAGGATGTGGAAAAAGCTAATGTACTCAATGCTTTTTTTGCCCCTGTCTTCACAAACAAGGTCAGCTCCCAGACTGCTGCACTGGGCGGCACAGTATGGGGAGAAGGTGACCAGCCCTCTGTGGAAAAAGAAGTGGTTCGGGACTATTTAGAAAAACTGGATGAGCACAAGTCCATGGGGCCGGATGCGCTGCATCCGAGGGTGCTAAAGGAGTTGGGGGATGTGATTGCAGAGCCATTGGCCATTATCTTTGAAAACTCATGGCGATCAGGGGAGGTCCCGGATGACTGGAAAAAAGCTAATGTAGTGCCCATCTTTAAAAAAGGGAAGGAGGAGGATCCGGGGAACTACAGGCCAGTCAGCCTCACCTCAGTCCCTGGAAAAATCATGGAGCAGGTCCTCAAGGAATCAATTATGAAACACTTAGAGGAGAGGAAAGTGATCAGGAACAGTCAGCATGGATTCACCAAGGGGAAGTCGTGCCTAACTAACCTAATTGCCTTCTATGAGGAGATAACTGGGTCTGTGGATGAGGGGAAAGCAGTGGATGTGTTATTCCTTGACTTTAGCAAAGCTTTTGATACAGTCTACCACAGTATTCTTGCCAGCAAGTTGAAGAAGTATGGGCTGGATGAACAGATTACAAGGTGGATAGAAAGCTGGTTAGATCGTCGGGCTCAACGGGTAGTGATCAACAGCTCCATGTCTAGTTGGCAGCCGGTTTCAAGCGGAGTGCCCCAAGGGTCGGTCCTGGGGCCGGTTTTGTTCAATATCTTCATTAATGATCTGGAGGATGGCGTGGACTGCATTCTCAGCAAGTTTGCAGACGACACTAAACTGGGAGGAGTGGTAGATACGCTGGAGAGTAAGGATACGATACAGAGGGACCTAGGCAAATTAGAGGATTGGGCCAAAAGAAACCTGATGAGGTTCAACAAGGACAAGTGCAGAGTCCTGCACTTAGGACGGAAGAATCCCATGCACTGTTACAGACTAGGGACCGAATGGCTAGGAAGCAGTTCTGCAGAAAAGGACCTAGGGGTAACAGTGGACGAGAAGCTGGATATGAGTCGACAGTGTGCCCTTGTTACCAAGAAGTCTAATGGCATTTTGGGCTGTATAAGTAGAGGCATTGCCAGCAGAGCAAGGGACGTGATCATTCCCCTCTATTCGACATTGGTGAGGCCTCATCTGGAGTACTGTGTCCAGTTTTGGGACCCACACTACAAGAAGGATGTGGAAATATTGGAAAGAGTCCAGCGGAGGGCAACAAAAATGATTAGGGGTCTGGAGCACATGATTTATGAGGAGAGGCTGAGGGAACTGGGATTGTTTAGTCTCCAGAAGAGAAGAAGGAGGGGGGATTTGATAGCTGCTTTCAACTACCTGAAAGGGGGTTCCAAAGAGGATGGATTTAGACTGTTCTCAGTGGTACCTGATGACAGAACAAGGAGTAATGGTCTCAAGTTGCAGTGGGGGAGGTTTAGGTTGGATATTAGGAAAAACTTTTTCACTACAAGGGTGGTGAAACATTGGAATGGGTTACCTAGGGAGGTGGTGGAATCTCCTTCCTTAGAGGTTTTTAAGTTCAGGCTTGACAAAGCCCTGGCTGGGATGATTTAGTTGGGAATTGGTCCTGCTTTGAGCAGGGGGTTGGACTAGATGATCTCCTGAGGTCCCTTCCAACCCTGATATTCTATGATTCTATGAATGCACTCCTGTGACATTCCCCTCTGGTGTTATCTAGACCATTGATCTGCTAGACCTCTCCGATCCTTGGCTCTGGGAGCCAGCCTTACCGTGCTCTGCTGCGAGAACCCCCACTCCTGGGCTGTTCACGCACAGCCTCTGGCATGTAAGCTGCTCCCAGCTACTTGCAAGCAAATGACAGTAGCCAATATCTCCGGTCCCAGACACAACCCTGGGAACCTCCGTCTTGCAGTGCCCAGTTATGCCTGCTGGACGCGGCAAGCTTATATAAGTTTGTCAATTTAACAAAGAAATTGATATGTACCAGGCTTGTTCTCCCAAGGGGAGTCTCTGACACACCACAAACCAAATGCACTGCTTCACGTAGAATAAACAAACAGATTAACTATAAAGATTGACTTATAATCACACAAATCTAAGCATAACAAGTCAGATTTGGTCAAATGAAATAAAAGCGAAACGCATTCTAAGCTGATCTTAAAACTTTCAATGTCCTTAAAAACTTGGATGCTTTTCAGTCAGGCTCTCCTCTTTGATCAGCGTTTCAGTCCCTTGGTGGTGGTGGTGTCTGTAGATGTAGGTGGAAGAGAGAGAGCATGGCAAAATGTCTCTCCCTTTTATCTTGTCCTTTCTTTCCTCTTGGCTTTGCCCCCCTGCCCTTCAGAGTCAGGTGAGCATTACCGCATCACAGTCCTGAACTGGCCAAAGGAAAGGGGTGACTCCCTCGAGGGTTTAACAGATTCTTTTGTTGCTGCCTAAGCCAGTGTCCATTGCTCCTGTGAGGCTGGGCTTGTCCCATCCATGCCCTGACAAGGTGTGAACTGCCTCCCTGTTCTTGGAGAGTTTTTGCATGGGCTTGCTTTAAGCCATGAGGATACATTTGCAGCCTCATAACTATATACATGAAATTATAACCTATAATATTACTATAACAATCACTATAACAACCATGCTCAGTGCATCATGAGCCTTCCGAAGACATCCAACATGACAAACTTTGCATTGGATACCATACAATCATTTTATAAAGATGAAAATGGGGGTGTAGGGTATCCACCTGAGGTACAGAGCGTCACAACTCCACACAGTTCATGGCTCCTCTGAGGTGCTCAGTATAGCTGGCAGTGCCTTCTGCCCCTACCCATTTGCCATCAGGATATTTAGGCAGCAACAACAGTATGGCTTCCATATACATGGGAGTGTGTGGGGGAGGAAAAGGACTTCTTGTCCCTCTTCTCACCTCCACCACCAATGCCTCTGTGTGATGGCAGCCATATTTTGACCCTGTAATAAATAGATAGGAACTGCTTCTGCCAGGAAAAATTTCAGGTGAGCATAGATGGCCCTCAGTAAGGGAAACAGGAAATCCAAAATACTTCTCTCTCCTTTCTACCCAGTCTCCAGAGACTAAATATACCAGAAAGGAGACAAACCCATCTTGCTCATCTTTACACTACAAACTCTATTATTTCTTTTTGAACAAGCCCTTTCATCTCCAACGAGATATTACCCCAGGAGCTTCCTGGAATCTACACTCCATTTGATCAGAAACCTTTCTCAGTCAAGGCAACAGGACAAGTGCATTGCTGCCTGTGCCTGCCTGCTGAGTTGATGAACTGTAATGGTCAGAGATCACACCAGCATAGAAGTATACTGATGCAAGGAAATTAAGAGTTTAAATTCTCCACCACATATCCCACTAAAATGAATAGAACCCACAGGTCACTTGGGCACAAGTATCAATGTCAGAATGCTACATTATCAGCACAGTAAATGAAGCTGCAAAATAAATGATGTTTAAATGACCTCACTATTTTTTACAGTCCTCTATTAAGCGGTAATTGATATGTACACCAGGCAGGGTCATTTGGAAGCCAAAGATTTTATGCTTTCATCCCACTCTACTGTCAAGTTTTAGCAAACTAGGACAAGTCAGCAAATAATCACCTTAGGTATCAGTAACTGCTAATGGTAACAATTAGCGGCTACTGGTAGAAAATTACATCAGATAACAGGTTTTTTTTTTTTTTTTTACAATCCCTTACATATGAATAACTGCGACAGGTAGCAAATTCCTACAGGTAGCAGTTTCTCGCACTACAGTCCCAGGATCGGTGCTGGTAACTGGAAAGTATCGCGATAGAGGAAGAGTATCGGCATCATGGCGTCTCAGGCCCGGTACCTTCGAATACTCCTGAGCCAGTTTCTGGTACTTCCCCTGCAGTTCCGCGCTAGCCGCCGCCATCGCCCCACCGCTCCTCGGTAGCTACTGCTGTCCACGTCGGAGAACCCACTGCCCGGGGCCGCCGCCGCGGCTCAATCCAACCACGCCCCGTCCCTCCCGACACACTTCCGGACGTGAGAACGCGCTAACATCAACGCACAATCTCACGCTAGGCTACGGGGTGGGTCGACTTCACTCTTCGGTACCATCATCTTGACGCAAAATCCAAGATGGCAGATCGAGGGCGGGTCACAAGCTACCCTCTCCGTCCGCACCTTGGGCGCAACAGACAGAAAAGCCGGAGTACGATCACGTGACACGGGAAGGCGCGAGCGCGCTGTTGTTACCATGGCAACACCCTCACAAGCGCTCCAGGAGCGGCCCTACGTAACGCGCAACGGGGCTACGGAGCCCGGCCAAGGCCAATAAACTACGGAGTTGCGGGGCCCCAGAGCTCTAGCGGCGCGCACTCCCTCCCAACGTTGAGCTGAAGCGGGCCCGCGAGCATGCAGTGGGTGACTTGAGAGGGTTGGGGGGGAATTCTCACCGGTATCTAGACGACCCGCTCCCATTGATAAAACCGGAGAGGGGCGGGTGCTGGGTGTAGGCGAGCCCCGCCGCCCCCAACCCGTAATGAACGGGCCTGTGGGCAGCGCCTCAGTTGCGTGTGCACAGTCCCCGTGACCTGGGCAGCAGCATTGTCTCAGCCACCGCAGGGAGGGGAGCAAATATACCGGGTTGACGAGAGGAGGGGGGCAGTTGTACCAGGGCACCAAGTTCAGAAGACCCCAGGTTTGTCACATGGTGAAATTGGAGACGTGGGGCCTGCTGGCTAGACACTACTTTAAAATGTCCAACATGAGGGTGGGTAGGCGAAGCTCATTCTCTTACCTGGCATACGGCCACAGTTGGAGCCAAGGGCTCCTGGGTGTCCCCAGGGGGTCCTGGGCGGGGGGGGGGGGGGGGACATTAAAAGCTGGCTCTACTCCTGGCCTGCAGAGAGCCAGCCCTGCCTTACCTCATCTGTACGTGGGGAGAAAGAAGAAAACCTTTTTGACAGGCAGGGTCTTTGAAAAATCAAGCATTTGTTTAAACGATCCTCAGGGATTAGATATGAAAATAAGTCTCAGGTGAGAAGAATCAGTGGGGAGGGTGCATATGAGAATCAGTGGGGAGGGGGCATCACAGCCATAACAAATTTGGTTATGATATGGGTGCAGAAATAAGGGAATTTAACCCATGGATATTGTCACCACATGTGAAATAAATATATATTTATAGTGAACACATCACACCACCGTTTGGAAAATATTTGATATGAACAAATTAGATGTGTATTTTTAACACCAAATATGTATGTTTAATTACAAAGAGCTGTGTGTAACGGGTTTGGTCACAGGGACCCCCTTGGGACTGTCACCTGCTGTGCTGAAACTACCTCGGAGCCCATTTTCCCTGTCAGCTTGGGACTCCATAACCCTGTCTTGCTGACTCCTTCTTAGTCTAGGCCCAATCCTTTCCCTGGTACAGTTCTTGTTAGTTCCAGCTCAGGTGGTAACTAGGGGATTTCTCATGACTGCTGCCCCCTTTGTTCCATTCCACCCCCTTTTATAGCTTTTGCACAAGGCGGGAATCCTTTGTCTCTCTCCGGGTTCCCACCCTTCCTTCTAAAGCAGGGGTTCTCAAAGTGGTGGTTGGGACCCCTCAGGGGGTCGTGAGGTTATTACATGGCGGGTTGTGAGCTGTCAACCTGCACCCCAAACCCCGCTTTGCCTCCAGCATTTAAAATGGTGTTAAATATATTAAAAAGTGTTTTTAATTTATAAGGGGGGGTCACACTCAGAGGCTTGCTATGTGAAAGGGGTCAGCAGTAAAAAAGTTTGAGAGCCACTGTTCTAAATGGAAAAGAACCAGGTTTAAGATGGATTCCAGTATCAGGTGACATGGTCACATATCACTTAAGACCTTATTCTTCATTACCCACAGGCTGGCCCCCACGTCCACGAGAAGGCTTGCAGGTAAATAAACCATCTACAGCCAATTGTCCTAGTAAATGGGTGCCAGCAAGATTCTAAACCCCCATTAATTGCCCACACTTTGCATAATTACAATAGGACCTCAGAGTTAACTTTTTATTTCTAGTTTTAGATACACCTCTACCCCGATATAATGCAGTCCGATATAACGCGAATTCGGATATAATGCGGTAAAGCAGTGCTCCGGGGGACGGGGCTGCTTTACCTCGTTATATCCGAATTTGTGTTACCGCAAGCGGTTCATCTGCGCCTGCCCGTTACTTGCTGCGGCCCTTCCCGACGCCCCCCCTCCGCCCCAGCTCACCTCCGCTCTGCCTCCTCCCATGAGCGCGCCGCAGATCTGCTTCTCCTCCCTCCCAGGCTTGCTGCGCCAATCAGCAGTTTGGCGCAGCAAGCCTGGGAGGGAGAGAGGGAGCGGGGAGAAGTGGAGCTGCGGCGCGCTCGTGGAAGGAGGCGGAGCGGAGGTGAGCTGGGGCGGGGGGGCCCCGGGGAGGGCCGCAGCAAGTAACGGGTGGGCGCAGAGGAACCACTCCCCACTCCAGCTTATCTCCGCCTCCTCCCCTGAGTGCGCCGCCACCGTTCCGCTTCTCCCCCCACCCCTTCCAGGCTTGCCGGGCCAAACAGCTGATTTGCGTGGCAAGCCTGGAAGGGAGGGAGAAGCGGAGCAGCGGTGGCGTGCTCAGGGAGGAGGCGGAGGTGAGCTGGGGCGGGGAGCGGTTCCTCTCCCTACCCCGTTATAGCACGGTCTCACCTATAACACGGTGAGATTTTTTGGCTCCTGAGGACCACGTTATATCGGGGTAGAGGTGTACAAGAATGATACATACGTACAAATAGGATGAACACACTCAGTAAATTATAAGCTTTGTAATGATACCTTATAAGAGACCTTTTGCATAAAGCATATTCCAGTTACATTATATTCACATTCCAGGCATATTTTCATAAAGCATATGGAGTGCAACGTCACACTGTGTATTCCATTAAGTCTCACTGGAATTTTTGCATCAATAAAATTAATTTATTATGTAAAACCTTAGTTAAAATCTACAGCAAGGCATAAAAATGAAAAAACTCTAATTTAAACATGCATTTTGTCCTATAAATTGTACAATCTGCTTTTAGCATTAACACACTAGAGGGAGCCTTTTACCTAAGTCTGGCAATTTGATTTTCAGAACAGGAGGAGAAAATATACAAGCACTTTAATAGGTGATTGGTTCAACTTGTTGGTAGCAACAGTAGCTATTTACAAAGATCGTGGGTGAGCTCATTTTACTACACTCAGGTCTCTAGATTTGAGACAAAGTAGATAATGCAAGTTAATAATTATGGAAAACTACTTTCTCATTGAGGTGGTCAGTGCTTTCACAAAGCTTAGATTTAGGTTTCGGCACTGCTTTCCCTGAGCAACCTGCTAGCCTATGATGTCAGTTGCATATATGTGGAAGTTTTCCTATAATATAATTAATAATAATAATTAGGGCTGTCGATTAACTCAAAAATATTAATTGTGATTAATCACAGTTTTAATCGCACTGTTAAACAATAGAATACCAATTGAAATTTATTAAATATTTTTGGATATTTTTCTACATTTTCAAATATAATGATTTCAATTACTAACACAGAATATAAAGTGTACAGTGCTCATTTTATATTATCATTTTTATTACAAATATTTGCACTGTAAAAATGATTAAAAAAGAAATAGTATTTTTCAATTCAGCTCATACATGTACTGTAGTGCAATCTCTATCGTGAAAGTGCAACTTACAAATGTAGATTTTTTTTGCTACATAACTGTACTCAAAACCAAAACAATGTAAAACTTTAGAGCCTACCAGTCCACTCAGTCCTACTTCTTGTTCAACCAATCACTAAGACAAACAAGTTTGTTTCCATTTATAGGAGATAATGCTGTCCTCTTCTTATTTACAATGTCACCAGAATTGCACCCATCCGTTACTTGCTGCGGCCCTTCCCGGCGCCCCCCCGCCTCAGCTCACCTCCGCTCCGCCTCCTTCCACGAGCGCGCCGCAGCTCCGCTTCTCCCCGCTCCCTCTCTCCCTCCCTCCCTCCCAGGCTTGCTGTGCCAAACTGCTGATTGGCGCAGCAAGCCTGGGAGGGAGGAGAAGCAGATCTGCGGCACGCTCATGGGAGGAGGCAGAGCGGAGGTGAGCTGGGGCGGAGGGGGGGCGGGAAGGGCCGCAGCAAGTAACGGGCAGGTGCACCGCTTGCGGTAACACAAATTCGGATATAACGCGGTAAAGCAGCCCCATCCCCCGGAGCACTGCTTTACCGTGTTATATCCGAATTCGCGTTATATCGGACCGCATTATATCGGGGTAGAGGTGTATCTAAAACTAGAAATAAAAGGTTAACTCTGAGGTCCTATTCCAATGTATTTACATGCCAGATATGCTAAACATCCATATGCCCCTTCATGATTTGGCCACCAATCCAGAGGACATGCTTCTATGCTGATGATGCTCTTTAAAAAAAAATGCATTAATTAAATTTGTGACTGACCTCAGGGGGAGAATTGTATGTCTCCTGCTCTGCTTTATCCGCATTCTGCAATATATTTCACGTTATAGCAGTCTCGGATGATGACCCGGCACGTGTTGTTCGTTTTAAGAACACTTTCACAGCAGATTTGACAAAACACAGAGAAGGTACCAGTGTGAGACTTCTAAAGATAGCTACAGTACTTGACCCAAGGTTTAAGAATCTGAAGTGCCTTCCAAAATCTGAGAGGGATGAGATGTGGAGCATGCTTTCAGAAGTCTTAAAAGAGCAACACTCCAATGCAGAAACTACAGAACCCAAACCACAAAAAAGAAAAGCAACTGTCTGCTGGTGGCATCTGACTCAGATGATGAAAATGAACATCTGTCAGTCCGCACTGCTTTGGATCGTTATCGAGCAGAACCCGTCATCAGCATGGACACACATCTTCTGGAATGGTGGTCAAAGCATGAAGGGACATATGAATCTTTACCGCATCTGGCGCGTAAATATCTTGCGACACCGGCTACAACAATATCATGTGAATGTCTGTTCTCACTTTCAGGTGACATTGTAAACTAGAAGCGGGCAACATTATCTCCTGC